AGCGGGTATCCCGGGGAGCAGTGCCCGGGACAGCATTCCCTTCCCGCGGGTATCCCCAGTGTGAATATGGGGAGATACCGGGTGTCCCTAGGGAGCAGTTCCATGGGACAGCATCCCACTCCAGCTGTTATCCCCGGGGACAGCATTCTTCTCCCACGGGTATCCCTGGGGAGCAGTACCCAGGACAGCATCCACCTCCCGCAGATATCCCTGGGGAGCAGTGCCCTGGGAAAGCATCCCCTTCCCTCAGTTATCCCCAGCATGAATATGGGGGGAATGGGCACACCGTGGGGAGACCAGGTATCCCCAAGGAGCAGTGCTCAGTGACAGCATCCCTCTCCTGTGGGCATCCCCGGGGAGCAGTGCCCTGGGACGGCATCCCCCTCTCGTTGTTATCCCCAGGGAGCAGTGCCTAGGGGACTGCATCCTGCTCCCACGTGGCCAGGAGGATGGTGTGAGCCAAACCCCTGGGGAGGGCTGCACAAGAGAGCTGTGTCCTCCCTTCTATAGGGAGAGCTGGGCACCAAGGGGGATCTCAGTGCACCTAACACCTTGCTCTGCTTTGCCCCACAGCCTGGAGCAGCTGGCGTCACCCTTGGCATTCCCAGCCACCAGCAGTCCTGACCCATGTGCTAAGGAGACTGTGCTGAATGCCATCAGGGAGAGCAGGAAAAGGGCTGTGGAGGAGGAGGAGGAGGAGGATCAGGCTTTTGAGAATGATCAGGAGAGCAAGAGAAGGTAACAAGGCAGCAGTTCAAGTTGCTGTTCAAGTGTTGGGAAGGTCATAAATGAGGCTCTCGCTCCAGTGGTGACAAATGGGATGTGTCCCAGAATGTGCCAGGCATGGTGTGACCAGGAGCCTGGGCTGGAAAAGTGCTGTGGGAAGTGAAGAGAGGAAGCACACTCCATCTATCACCCAGCCCTCAGGGCTGTATTTGAAAGTCCTCCAAGGCTCCTGTTGTCCTTGAGATCCAAGGGATGTGGTTTAAGTGTGGGTCAGGTGTGATCCCTGCCTGACTGGGGTTGGGAGAGACTGGGATGTGGTTTGGGGAAGCATGGCTGGGAAGTGGCTTCTGTCCTCACTGAGGGTTAGTGGTGGGAAATGCTGCTATCTGCTGTAGGCTCTGTCTCTGTCAGCCCCAGGCTCCCAGGAGAGACAGGATCCCCAAGGCTTATGGGATCCCCAGGTGCAATCATCGCTCTTGGAAAACTCTATGTGCTTCCCTCATGTGCTGAGCTAGCAGAGGGAGGTGAGACATGAGGGTAAACAAGAGATACTGTCTGCTGCTTTTGTTAGTCAAGGTCAGCAGCTTCCAGCCCTGGACTGGAGGGAAGGAGGATGCCATGTCTTTGCCTGTACCCTGGGAAGGACAAGGAGTGCCAAGGTCTGCCAGAGCCTTTCCAACCATGCAGGCACAGCACTGCCTTGCTGTCCTGCCCTCACAGAATCCCCGAATGGTTTGGGTTGGAAGGGACCTTAAAGACCATCTCATTTCACCCCCTGTCATGGGCAGGGACACCTTCCACTAGACCAGGTTACTCCAAGCCCCATCCAACCTGGCCTTGAACACTTCCAGGGATGGAGCAGCCACAGCTTATCTGGGAAACCTGTGCCAGTGTCTCACCAGCCTCACAGGGAAGAATTCTTTCCATGTATCTAAACTGAATTTTCCCATCTTTCAGTTTGAAGCCATTCCCCTTTGTCCTGTCACTACAGTTCCTGATGAACAGTCTATCTCCAGCTTTCTTGTAGTCCCTTGAGATCCTGGAAAGCTGCTGTGAGACCTCCACACAACCTTCTCTTCTCCAGGCTGAACAGCCCCAACTTTCTCAGCCCCCATAGGGGAGGTGCTCCAGTCCTCTTACCAACTGTGTGGCCTCCTCTGGATGTGCTCCAACAGTTGCTTCTTCCTTCCCAGTTGTGTCCATGGAGGCTATTCCTTGGGCTGGGCTGGAGCAGGGAGCTGAGACACTGCAGAGAGTGGTTTGGGTAGTGCCTGGGTGCCTTGTCCTGCACCAGGGCTGCTGCTTGAGGTGACCCAGAGAGCACAGCAGGGCAAGACAGGTCACATCCTCCTCCTCCAGCAGGTATTCCCCTCTGGACGCTCAGCTTGGGGCATCTGAGCCCTGCAAGAGCTTACAGCAGGATGAGTGCACAGACAGGATCAGCTTGGAGTTTTGTTTCACTGTTTTTTTAACATGCCAATATGCAGCTCTGCCATGAAGGCCCATTCTGAAGGCATTAATGTCTCACAAGCCCAAGAAGCTCTGCCATGAAGGCCCATTCTGAAGACATTAATGTCTCGCAAGCCCAAGGAATGCTTGTAGGCAGCAAATCCCTTGACCTTGGGGGGCAGAAAGGAGCTGTGTCAGCAGGAGAGCACAGGATTGCCTGTGCCATGGGACCAGTGTGCTCAAAGCTCAAGGGAAGTGACAGGGCTGTCATACACCTCCAGCTCTGCTTCACAGTGGGGTTTGCTTGGGGTCTTCCTCAGAGATTCCTTGTGAGAAGGTGGATTTGGTTTCTGAGTCAACTAGTGCAGGGCACTGGTTGGGAAGAGACTGGAGATAGGAGTTCAGGTCTGTTCCAGGAATGACCTGCTGAGTCTCCCTCAAATATTCTGGCTTAGAATAATGGATTTGAGCAAAGACTTTTATTTGACACTCGAACTACTGTGCCCAGCAGGCAGCTGAGGGAGCTGCTGGTGTTGTGGGGGGCGAGTCAGTGAGGACAGGCCCAGGGGGAGAGAAAATCTGCAGCAGGATGGGGAAAAACTCTCCTGGGTGTTGGGTGGCAGGGAAAAAGCAGAATTTGAGCTCTGCAGGTGCTGAGCTTGCCTGGAAAAAGACCTCTCTCCAGGCTGGGAGAGGCTTCCCTACTGCCCTAGGCTTCCACCCTCTCTCCCACAGGCGCCACGACAGCAGTGGAAGTGGGCAGTCAGCGTTTGAGCCACTGGTGGCCAACGGTGCCCCTGCCTCCCTCATACCCAAGTAAGTGCCCACTGAGTCAAAAATACCTGCTGGGATTGGGGGTGGGGGGAGCAAAAATCTATGAGATCTGGAAAAGCAGCTTGGGTTTTGCTTGTGGAGCCTGGCTTTGGGGGAGAGCAGGAGAGGCCATGGCCTCTGTCTGTCAGCCTGTGACAGCAGGGCTGTGCCATGTGCTGTGAGGAGTGGGATTGCCTTCCTCCAGCATAGGGAGGACCTTCAGAGTAGTGGGGAGCTCATCACCCCTTCCTCCCCTCCTCCAGGCCTGGCTCTCTGAAGAGAGGTCTTGTCTCTCACTGCTCGGATGACTGCTCGAACAAGAGGTCTCGCACCTCCTCCATGAGCTCCCTCAACAACACATATGCTGGGGGCATTCCCAGCTCCATCCGCAACGCCATCGCCAGCTCCTACAGCTCCAGCCGGGGCCTCGCACAGGTAGGGACAACAGGGCTCTGGGATCCATTCCTCTGGATCCCACTGTAATCCCAGTGCTGGGCTCTGAGAGCTCAACCCAGCAGTCTCACCTCCCTGAGGGTCAGGTGGGCTGTGGGTACAGCAGCAATGCTATTACCTGGTTTTTGGAGGAGGCCCAGGCTGAGCCAAACCCAGGGAGGCTGTGGATGCTCCAGCCCTGGCAGTGTTCAAAGACAGGTTGGATAAAGCCTTGAGCAACCTGCTCTGGTGGGAGGTGCCCCTGCCCAGGGCAGGGGGTTGGGACTAGATGGTCTCTAAGTTCCATTTCAACCCCTTAACATACATACTACTATGAGCTGTTGTACTGCTTTTACACTGAAGCAAGTACGAGGCTGTTTTCCCCTCCCTGCTCATCCTTGGCCAGTCTGCTAGGCTGGATAGATCCAGGTGAAAGATTAAAAAAGGCTTTGCTGCACTGACTCCTTTTGAGCTGGAGTCAGCAGTGTGGGAGCTGTGTGTTCCCACTGTGGCCCAGGTCCCAGCTGCTGACTGTGATGGGGCACTGCTTGTATCCTGGTTTGGCTTGCAGATGTGGCAGGGACACATAGCCATGGCCACTGAAGCTCTGTCTGTGTGGGGAATGGTTTGCTCCAGGTGGCAGGGAGAAGTTTGCTAGGGCTGGGGTGAGTCAAATCCTTGTGTTGGGATCTGCTCTGAACTCCTGGCAAGGTTGTGGCTAGCTCCTGCCAGAGCAGCCCCATGCACAAGGGTGTCCAAGGCAGCTGTGTGGCCTCTGCCTGTGTCACACGAAGGCAAGACCTGGCCCAGCAGTGTCCTCCTACTCCATCTTCAGGCAGAGGCAAAAGCTGGCCCACCAGTGTCCTCCCAACCCTATCCTCAGCCAGGCTGTAATGGTCCTGGAGACTGCTTGCTCCCTGTGTGGATTCAACTTGGGGTGGCTAGACTTTGTGCTCCCCATAATGTTGGGGGGAGTTAAGTGGTGTTGAAGCAGTAGAGGATCAGGGCTTGTTGGGCTCATTAGCCACAGCCCTGGGCCATGAGCTTTAGTGCAGGTGAGGAGGAAGGAGTGGGTCTGTGCTCCTTGCCAGCCCCACACCAAGTTACTGCTGCTGTGTCTCTGTGTTCCAGCTGTGGAAGAGAAGTGGTGTGAGTGTGTCTCCACTGTCCAGCCCAGCATCTTCCCGGCCCCAGACCCCGGAGTGGCCTCTCAAGAAAGCCAGGTAACCAGGCACCCACCTGGTGAGTGCCCACTCGCCAGTGCCAGCCGGGAAGGGAGCAGTCATCTTCCCAGCCATCCCAGCCCCCAAGTCCTGCTCTCCACTGGAGCTGAGACGGTCCAGGTTCCTCTCTGAGATGTGATGGTGGGTTACCCACCAGTGTCATATCAACTGGCCTTCTTGTCACACTGTGGCCCCAGTGGCAGCACTGTGCTGTGCCACCCCTGCCCTGCTCCAGGCTGGGTCAGAGATTTAAGGGCTCAGCTTGGCTCAGTGCCTCATGGCATTGGCATGGCCTGGGATGCTGGATGCTGGAACATTGTGAAGACAGGCCCTGATTTTTGCCATCTTCTCAAAGTCAAATCTCAGGAGCTACAGGTGGGCTGTATCTTATCTCCTGCCTTGGGGCACAGCCCATGTTTTCCTCTCTCCCAGCTCAGAGAAGCCTGAGCTTATGTCAGAACAAAAACTGACACAATCACCTGGTGACAGGATGGGTCCAACCTGCCGGGGGCAGTGACTCCCATCCAGGACCCCTGGTTGCCACCCTGGGTCTGACCCATCCTGCAGAGGGTGCACAGGCCCCAGCCATGCTGGGTCCAGAGCAGGGAGCAGCTCCTCTGCCTGGAGCTGGGCAAAGCTCTTGTCCTGAAGTCTGTTTGCAGGAAGCAGAGAAACACATCAAGGATGCTGGTGGTAGTCCTCAGCGTGTTCAGTCTCATCCTGCTCCCTGGGGACAGGTCTGTGTGTGGGGATGACTTTAACTGTTTCTTTCCTGCTTGCACAGGGAGGAGGAGTCACATCGTTCCAACACTTCCACCCCAGTGAAATCGGACAAGGAGCTGCAGACAGAGAAAGGTGAGTGTAAGTGGGCCCTGGCACTTTGCCTGGGTTGAGTGGACCACTGGTGTGAGCAAGAGGACGGGCGGTACCTGAGATCTGCAGTGGGGTTGGCTTGAGAGGGCACCTGGAAACTCGGAGTGTGCTGCTCCCAAGGCAGTGGCACTTCTGCTGTCCTCAGTGACTGCCCTAGTGGGATTTCCAGGTGATAAGAGGGTGCTGATAGTGTCAGGGTGCTGGCAGATGCCTGGGAATTGGCTTGCACGGGAGAACTCCTTCTCCTAACCCCGCACAGGTCAGGTGTCACTCTTGGGCTCAGACCTGCTGTGGTATGAGTAGCACCCTGATCAAATTCCAGGCTGAGCTTATTCCAATGCTTCTTCAGTTGAAATGGAGAGAATATGCTCTGTGCCCATGACACCTGGGTCCTGGGGGTACAGCACTGGGCGTGGTGTGTGGTTTGGATAGGCAGTGTGCAGGGTCTGTCCATGGAGGTGGAAGGGACCACTGCCCTGCAGAGCCCCAGCAGACTCTTGTCACAGCCCCCCAGATGTGTGGTGCCAGCTGCTCTTCCAGAGCATCACAGCCTTGTCCTCTGCTCCAAGCCATGTCCCTGGCTCTGCCCTCCGACCTGAGCCATCCAGGGAAGGGTCAGGAGGGACAACCTCATCAGTGCAGCCTCTCTGCCCAGAGCTGAGCCTGAGTTGTCTCCTCCTGCAGCACTGGAGTCGCCGGTGTGGAAGAAGCAGAGCTCCCGGAGCCCACCGTCCGCGTCGGGGAGCAGTGGGAAGCGCAAGCGGAAGATCCCGTTGCTGTCATCTCTCCGTGGGGACCAGCTGGTGCTGGTACGTCGCTGTCTCGCAGCCCCTTTGGCCCTGCTGTGGCAATAGAATGTGCTCACTGCAATTTCTGCAGGGCTGGGGGGACACTGACCTGCCTGCCCTCAGGAAGGAGGCCCCGTCCTTGGCCGAGTGGGAAGTGACGCTGTCCCCAGCCCCAGTGTCTGGTGGGCTGTGCGTGGTTTTGCTGCCTGCTGCCGGACCAGGTAATGGCCTGGGGAAGGCCTGCCATGCCCTCAGGGGCCCGCCGGGGGCCCCCCGGAG